AGAGAAAACATAGATCCAAGGTTTATAGGGTTGCATGTACACCATAGGAGTGTTAGAATGCTCAAAAACTCAACAATTATATGTATGTTATTTACTTGTGTATTGGTATTTTAGGGTAACTCACTAAGCTTTGGGCTTATAGTTTTGGATTATGTTTCAGGTACCTCAAAGTATTGCGGGAAGGCGAAGGCGTGATCGTGCACCTCCTCGAGCTTTGTTTTTATGATTTTGGGAATACTCTGATATTGAACTTGTTTTGGAAACTATTTGTAAACAATGATGATTTATGGGTGTTTTAAAAAGTTTAAATTTTCCGTGAATTTTATGGATGTTACACCTTGGGAGAACCCTACCATTAATTTTCAAGATTTGAGCCTCCCTTCTCCTCTAACATCCATTTTTGGAGTTTTTGGTGGTTTTGAAGCAATGTTTTCATGCAAGATTGATCCTTGAAGCTTGGCAATTGAAGATCTCAACTTTCATCTACCTTTCTAGACCTTTATAAGTTATAAAGTTTCAAGCTTTATTGCATTTCATCTTGGATCTAAGTGTATTTGGTGTTTTGGTCCATTTTAATGAGTTTTGAGTGAGAGTTGGGAATAAAGTTTGCAACTTTATTACTCTCCAAGGTCCCAAGAACAATGTATATTTCAGATCTAGACTCCAACATCTTTTGATTAGTTTGGGATGCTTCTTGGTCCTCATGGACTAGGAAAGTTATGATCTTTTGTCTTCCCTTTTAGTCATGCAAGTTATCTTGGTTATTTATGTCATTTTTGTGTATTAAAGTTTAGATCTTTAAAGTTTGAGACATTATTATGGATAAAGTTGGAAACTTTATCCATCTAAACATCATGTTGATTCAAATATGAAGGTTGGAGACTTGAACTTAATGGATTAAGTTGAGAAATATGCATTCTTCCCCCTTTTGAGACTTAAAGACTATATCTTGGTTGTTTGGACCATCCTAATGGATAAAGTTGAAAACTTTATCCATTATAAAGCTATTTAGGATCTAGATTTGATGTTATGGGCCTTGGTCTGAAGAGATCAGATTTGACTTTCTGACCAGAAGTCACGACGTGACGGTGCCCAGAATCACGATTGTTTTGTCCTTGCATCCTCACGACGTGACCAAGGAATGGTCATGACGTGACGTTGACATTGATTTTGATTGTTGACCTTGTGGACTTTGACCGTTAACTTTTTGACCATTTTAACTTTTGGTCAAACTTGGGTAGAATTGAGTATTTGACTAAGAATTGGTCTCGGTTTGCCTTTAGGTAGCTTGGATTGGTTGTCCTATTGTTGGGGTAGCTGTTGAGTAGTTTAGGTAAGTCTTCTCACTGTACTTGTGGTCGAAGGCACCAATGCCGACCCACTAGGTTGTGTTATGTAGAATGCTAGCTGTCTGTGTGACTCTTGCATGTATGATTGGGTTGAAATACACCCAAGGATTGGGCCCATTATTGTATGTTTGGGTTGAAATAAACCGTAGGTTTGGGCCCATTATTGCATGTTCAGGTTGAAAAAAACCCTAGGGTTGGGTCCATGATTGTATGTTGGGTTGGAATATACCAGATGGCTAGGCCTAATTGTATGTTGGGTTGGAATATACCTCAGGGTTGGGCCCAATGATTAGTATGACATGTGGTATTTTGGGGAACTCACTAAGCTTTGTGCTTACGGTTTTGTGGTTTAAACATTTCAAGTACTTCCAGTTTCAAAAGGAATAACCCGACTTGATCACACTGCATCCCCTGAAGATTTATTCTGCAATGATTGTTTATTATTTTAGTCTGATGTTTTGAGAATACTTTTACTGTGATTATCTGTTGGGATAATGAATGAATGGTTTTGTCTTATTTAAAATGAATATTTTACTCGATATTTTTGGGATGTTACACATGTGAAAATGAAATATGGTTTGTTAATCAATAACCGATTCATAAATATTTAAAATGTTTTGTGATATGTCTTAAGTAACTTTTTTGTGTATTATATATTTACATTATATTTTTTTTAAGTAAATTATGTACGTAGAAAAAAAATAATTATTGGAATAGTCTGCCCATTATAGAGTTTCTTAGCGAAAAAGTCTATTCATGGATGGGTTCTCACCACCCTCCTCTGGCACAAACATCAAACTTCTCATTGCCCTAATCTTCCATGTAGGCTCCCTGGTTCGCCAACGTTACTAGAAAGAAGCAACGAGGAAGCAAAGCTGTCTACGGAGCTTTGCATCTCCCCCTCTAGTTGTAATACTAGGTGCGTCTCTACTTTGATTATTGTTCCCCATTTTCTCTGGTTTCCGCAACCGTAACCATTTTTCCGATTATATAAACTTTTTTTTGAATAACGAGACACTCTAAAAAATGAAGGATAAACAATCATTCTAGAAGCGGTAGCTCATACGCTCTCGAATCTAACGCACGAAAAAAAGAACTAACTCAAAGAAATTGGTCGCAAAGTTTTTTTTTTTTTTTTTGGGTCAAGAAACTCTCGAAGACCCCTCGGTCCTTTCCAAAAAACCATGAAACAAACATATCGTTTAGGCTTAGTTCCCGAGTTTTAGCAAAGAAAAAAAAAGAAAGTAAGGAGATACAAGAAGAGAAATGAAAGGAAAAAAAATGTATTTTGTGTTCCTGAGTCGGAGATAAATGAAAGGAAAATTAATATTTTATTTTTTCTCTTGAATTCTTTCAAATCAAAGGAAAGTCAGGAGGAAAAATGATTTTTTCTATATTCTTGTACTTCATTTCTTTAATGAAACTCAAGAGCACATTTTTTTTTTTTTTACTTTCTTCCCTTTTTCACTTATTTTCTTTTTTTTTCTCTCGTTAAGTTGAACTCGGGAACAGAGTGTTTATAAAATTTTATTTTAAGAAACTATATTTTCAAAATAAATTTTCAAACTTTTATGTTTATAATTAAATAAAAAATATTTATCACAAACCAAGTTTCATATTAAATAATCGGTCGCTTTTTTATTATATGTTTATAATATAAATTCAAAAACAATATTTCTAAAACTATGTTTCATAAAAGTTGTACTCCTAAAAGTATGTTCATTAAAAAATGGATAAATAATATGTTTATTTTATTATTATTATTATTATATACTCTAATAAAAAGAAGGGTTATTTCCATAAAAGACCTTATATTTTGATTTTTTTTCTTTTTAGACCTAAAAGTTTTTTCTTTTCCGAAAAAGACCAAACTTTTACCTTTTACTTGTTACTTTAGACCCTAATAGGTAAATTAAGTATTTTTATTTCATAAAAGACCCAACATTTTGTACTTTTTTCCAGTTTAGACCTAAAATGTTTTTTATTTCAAGACTAGTTGTATAAAAAACGTGATTATATCCTTTAGTTTAAAAATATACATCGATTTAAACAATATAGTTATTATGCCTACATTTATTTATGATTGTAAAATTCTTTGTCCATGTATATTTAT